TCTTTTAAGCTATCCTCATTTCTTTTCATTCTTTTTTCTGTTCTGCAGTAGTGATTTCCACTAATCTGTCTTTCTAGCTCATTGATCCGTTCTTCTGCCTTGTTTAGTCTATCCTTCGTTCCTTCTAGTATGTTATTCATTTTAGTGATTTTATTCTTCAGCTCTGTTTGGATATTCTTTATATTTTCCAACTCTTTGCTAAAAACTTCACTTTGTGTATCTATACTCCTCGAGTTTTCTGAACATCTTCGCCATCATTACTTTAAACTTTTTCTCAGTTAAATTGCCTATCTTCTCATCACTAATTTCTTCTTCTAGGATTTTATCTTGTGCCTTGGCCTGGGAGATAATTCCTCTGCCGCCTCATATTGTCTATCATTCTATTTGTATTTTTAGGTAGGTTAGTTAGTTTCTCAACCTTGGAGAGGTGGCCCTCTGTGGAAGACATCCTATGCTTCCCAGGGCAGTACACTGCTCTTGTCACCCAAGAACCATGGCCCAGCCAGTCCCAGTGTAGATTCTGGCCTGTGTTTGTGGATTCCTTCCACAGGCTTTGGGATTGTTGTTTTCTTATTTCTGGTATCTGCCCCTGGTGGATAAAGCTGAACTAGAGGCTTATTCAGGCTTCCTGGCAGGAGGAGCCAGTGCCTACCCACTGTTGGGTGCAGCTTAGTCCCGGACCTCTGGTGGGTAGGGCTGTGTCTAGAGGCATTTGTGGCTCCGGAGGTCTTCTGATGGGTGGGACTGTGTTCCTCCACCCCATATGTTGTTTGGCCTGAGGCTTCCCTACAGGCTGTTGGGTGGGGCTAGGTCTTGGTGCTAATGATCCAATCAAGATGCCAGCCTCCAGGAAAACTAATATAGATTAACACTCCCGGAATGTCTGCCACCAGCTTTTATGTCCCCTGGATGAGCCGCAGCCTTCCCCAACATCCCCAGGAGACCTTCTAAAACCAGCAGACAGACCTGGCCCAGGTTCCTATGAAATCACTGCCTCTGCCCTTGGACCTGGCACATGTGAGATTCTGTGTGTATGCTTCCCAAGAGAGTAAAGTCCGTTTCCCCTAGTCCCTTGGAGCTCCTGGAGCTAAGCCCTGCTGGCCTTCAAAACCAGGTGTCCTGGAGTCTCCTCCTCCTCCCAAGCCGGAGCCCCAGGCTGGGGAGCCTGACCTGGGGCTTAGAACTCTCACTTCTGTGGGAGGGCCTCTGCGACTAAACAAATCTTCAGCTTCCCTTATTCTTCTATAACCCACAGGATTTTGGCTTTTTTTATGGCACATTTTCACATAGCACATTTTTATTTATTATCATTCTTGATAGATTACAGATCCCTTGTGGACATAGACTTATACACATATACACCCTTTTATCTTCATTTTAGTGTAACATCTTCTACTTAAAAGATAATATAAACTTTAATAAAATACAAGACTTTACAAAAAATGGGTGTACATTAAAACTATGATTTTCTGTTATAAAAAGTGATGTAGAAAATTTGGAAACTACTGATTAGAAAAGATAGAAACAATAATGGCAAAAAATAAATATTTGGGGCCTTAGTAGATATTTGCCAGATATTAAGTACTAAAATAATTATTTCATTTAGTTCTCATAGTTAACTATGAAGTTGGTACATATCTTATTATCCCCAATTTGCAGATGCAGTGGGAAAAAATTGACCCTAGTCTCATTCACCTGGAGAAAACTACTACTGATACTTTACATGGTCCTACTTTTGTATGGATATATACTTTTCCCCCCAATAATGTGGAAACTTATATGGACCACTTTTCAGTGAAATACAGAGATGGTGAGCATTTCAGATACACCAAGTAATACTGTTGACCCTTGAGCAATACAGGTTTGAGCTGCTTGGGTTTACTTTACACGGATTTTCCCAGTCAGTGTTGGTTGAATCTGTGGATGAGGAAGGAACCACATATATAGAGGGCCAACTGTAAGTTACAAATGGACTTCGGATTTCACAGAAAGTTGGCATTCCTGACCTCCTTGTTGTTCAAGAGTCAGCTGTAATACGTTCATTAAATAATTATGTTTATAGCTAAATTGCTTTCAGTTACCCACACTGAGAAAAAATTAAATATACCAGTTTGATACAACATTTCTTTGCTTACTACTGAGATTATACACTTTCTCATTTCTGTTGGTCATATGCCTGTCATATGAGTTGCAACTGTTTTTTCCAGTTTTTGATTTACCTTTTGATTTTGTTTCAGTATTTTTGGAGATTCTTTGTCAAGTTATATCTAACAATCTTTTCTTTTTTGTTTTTTCCCTTTGGTATTGTGTTCAGAAGGGCTTTCCTATTTAAGGATAATGGCTATTCATATTATGTAGATTTTACTTTAATACTTTAGTGGTTTCATTTTTAAAAATTAAGATAGTGTTAGTGTTTTATGTTATTCAGTGATTATAAACTCAGTATAAAACAATTTTGATGAAAGACAATTTTTAAACAAAAAAGTAAAAATCTTCCATAATCTCACATTCTAAGAGAGTTACTAAAATTTTGGTGTATATCCTTCCAGAATTTTTTCTTTGCATATAGTATCACAATTTTGGCATCATGCAGATACATTTTATGGTCTGCATCATCATTTTTAGTAATTTCAGAGTTTCCAGCTTTGTAAATTTATCAGGTATTTAGCCTGCATCCTACTGGTGGACATTTAAATTGATGTCCATTTTTTTGTTGTAATAAATCTACAGTGAACACTTTATACATATTCCCCCTTTCACTTACATATGTAAGATAAATTCCTAAAAGTGAGGTTCCTGGGTCTAATAGTATGTATATTTCTATTTTTGATCCACCAACCTTATTCCTTAAACTAGAAACTTGGATTGAAGTGTCTGTCTTCCTCACCTGTCACATCGAACCTCAAATGCTGTTGATTCTGCCTCCAAATAATTTATGATACACTTCTCTCCATTTAAACTACTTTCACCCTAATCCAGTGCATAATCTTCTTTGAGCTGGGCTTGCAGTAGAAATCTAAATGATCTTTCTACCTGTTTTACCTCACTCTAATCCATTTTCCATCACTTCTTGGGCTTTTGGCTAAGATCAAGTGCACTTTCCACACAGCAGCCACAGTGATTCTCTCAAAAACATAAACCTAACAAATATCCTGCTCAAAATCCTTCACTGATTTCTGTTTTACTCAGAATTATATACAGACCATCCTTATGGCCTGCATGGCCCTCCATGATCAGGCTTCTACTTACTTTTCCCAAACTAACTTATACTGTCTTCTTCACTAAGCTCCAACTGCACTTCACTTGCCTCTTTACTTGCCTTCAAATTCTCTAGGCTCTTTTCCTGCCTCCAGGCCTTTGTACATACTGTTCTTTCACCTGGAAAGCTCTTACCTCCCTCCACTTTTTACTTAGTCAGCTTCTACCCAACCACTCGAGTTTCATTTTAAGTGTTACTACTGCAGAGAACTTCCCTGATCCACCAGGGAATAATCTACATTATTCCCTTTATAGCACTATGTTTCTTTCCTTCGTTGCTTCAACCTCGGTTTCTAATTGCAGCATTTCTTTATGTAATGCCTGCCTCCTCTACCAGACAAGTCCCATGAGGGCAAGAACCTTTTCAGTTTGGTTCACCTTAGTACACCCAGCACCTAGCAGATAGTTGCTGAGTGAGTATTTTTTGGAATAAAACAATGTTGCCACATTATTCATTAAGATAAATAGAACCAGTTTATACTCTTATCAAAAGTATAACTTTCAGTGATTCTTTTTATATTTAAATTTATTTATTTTGTTATATGGTGCAAGATGCCAGGGATTTAACTTGATTTTTCCCAGTTACCCATTTGTCCCATAACCTACCATTATTCTGTAATTCAGCCTTTTTTCACTTCTTTAAAATACCAAAGTTGGTTATATTATAATAAATTTTTGTATCTTAAATCTCTTTCTGGACTTTCTTTTCTTGCACATTGCTCTGTCAACCTAGGTCCCGTGACCATGCTATTTATTTTTGCTGTATAGTGTATAATTATTTGATAGGCAAATCCTACTGCATTAACTTTTTGTTTCTTTCCTGTATCCTCCCGGATGAAGTTTTGACTGTCTTGCTAAATTCCAGTGAACAAAACCATATTGGAATTTCTATTGAAATTTTATTGAATATACAAATTAATATTTAGTAATATTTAGCTTTCCTGTCTACAGACATGCTTTGTTCTTTCCTTTTCAATATTTTGTAATTTATTAATCCTGAAAATTACTGAACTTTATTCTTGGAGATTTTTTTTAAATTAATGTTGGGAGAAATGTTTTTTCCTAGTTATATCCTCTCCCTGTTAATTGCTGATCTAGAGAAAAGCTATTTATTTGGGGATTTGGTATTTTTTTGTGTGTGTTTTTCTCATAAGTTTTCAATTGTTTCAGCTTTTTAAGATAGACTAATAACAACTTGTTACAGACCACTTTTAGTATGTTTATTCCAGGATGGAAATACCATTTCAAAGTCCTGGTATTGTTCTTGGTAATGTTTGTAGTTTGAGATTAGTCATAAATATTTTATTGCTTGTACTGTACATAATTACAATTATATAACTGAGTACAAGTGGAAATGTAGTCAACAACTTTAAGGTTGCTTTAGGAGATGAATTAAAATTGGGATTTTTTTCCTCTTAAACTTTTCAAAAAGGATATTGTAAACCAGAATTGGCCCAACTATCTTCATTCTAAAATAGTGTTTTCCCTCTTCAGGACGTAGTTTTAAAAGATGGAAGAATTGAAAGACTAAAGTTGGAACTTGAAAGGAAAGATGCTGAGATCCAGAAGCTGAAAAATGTGATTACTCAGTGGGAGGTTTGTATATATTTACTGTTGTAAGCTAAAATAATTCTATAAATTTGTACATTTTCTGTTTTTCTTATATGTGAATATGTTTAATATTTGAATGATGGAAACAATATTTCTGCTGTTTAGGTTTTTTAACTCATTAATTAGACATAATCTGAGTGATAGTATATTTTTACCATGGTATATATAACATTAAAGTTGCCAATTTTAGCCATACAATTCAGTGGCATTAAGTACCTTCTCAGTATTAGATGTTGACCAAAAAAATATGCACAACCTAAAAGTTGAGAATTATGTTTTTATTTGGTGGATTCTCTGAGGACTTTAAGCCCGGAAGACAGCCTCTCAGATCACTCTGAGGGACTGCTTTGAAGAGGTAAGGGAGGAGCCAGGATATATAGTAGTTTTGCAACAAAAATTAGGTAATCGGAACATCAGAAGATTACTGTTAATTAAAGAAAATCAGATATCTCAAGTTAATAAGTTTAGCACTTTTCTGTGTATGGGAAGTTGCAAGACGATGGGTCCATTGAAGTTGTTCCTTTGATGTGCATCTTAACTAGGGCCAATGTCCTGCTTTCCCCCATCTTGAATCCCCTCAGGGTGCACAGTTGGGGCAGCTGCAGTGGCTGCTGGCTTGATGGCTGCAACATCCTTTGTTTACCGATATGGCAGGCAACGTTTTTCCTCCTCATGTGTAACCATCACCATGATCTATTTCCAGAACTTTTCCATCATCTCAAATAGAAACTCTGTACCCATTAAACTCCCTACTTCCCTTTCCACTGCAGTCCTTGGTAACCTCTAATTCTCTGTGAATTTGCTTATTCTAGGTACTTCATAGAAGTGGAGTCATGATATTTGTCCTTTTGTGTCTAGCGTATTTCACTTGGAAAAATGTTTTCAACATGTGTATCTATCTGTGTTTTAGCATGTATCTGAACTTCTTTCCTTTTTATGGCTGAATAAGAACTGCACTGTATGTATATACCACTTTTTTTTGTCTATTCATCTGTTGATGGGCACTTGCGTTGTTTCCACCTTTTGGCTATTATGAATAACACTGCTATGATCATTGGTGTACAAGTATCTGAGATCCTGCTTTCAATTCTTTTGGTATATACCTAAGAGTGGGATTGCTAGGTCATATGGTAATTTCATGCTTAACTTTTTAAGGAACCACTAAACTGTTTTCCATAGCATCTGCACCATGTTAAATTTCCACCAGCAGTGCACAAGAGTACCAGTTTCTTCACATCCTAACCAACACTAGTTATTTATATAATTTATTTTAACCACAGACCGATTACTCTCTTCCTTCCTTAGGCTTTTAAAAAAATATCTTATTCATCTCAAGTATCATTCTTTTTTGATCTCATATTTATTCATTCAACAATTATTTATTGAATGCCTATAATATGCCAGGTGCTTTTTCTGCACCTGTATATGTAATAGTGAAATAAATAAAGCAAGTTCCAGCCCTGATGGTTTCCCTTCCTCTTCTACTCATCCCTTTAGGAGCCATCCCTGCAAAAACCTTTTTGAACGGCACCCACTTCTCCCTTAGCTTTTTCTTTGTCATTTATATTTTTCCTTTGCTTTTGTTGAGCACCTACCATGTGTTAGGCACAGTGAATACAAAGATAAGTTAGTAAGAAGTTCATAGTCTAATGGAGAGGATAAACATGTAAATAATTGCAGTACAATGTAGAATTTGCTTTTTTATTATTTATTTATTTTTATTGAGATATAGCCAATTTACAGTATTGTGTCAATTACAATGTAGAATTTGTGACTGAGATTTGACAGAGTGCTCCAGAAGCCGAGAACAGGAATGAATCCATTGGTGCTATTGAAAATTGGTAAGGATTTCACAAAATGAGACAGTTTTTCCAGATAGAACAGTCCATACAAAGGCATGGAAATGGTAGGAAATACATGGCTGCTGACATTTAGAGAAATGGGAAGTTGTAGAAGATGAGATTGGAGATGTTAGTTGGTGTCAGAGTTTGAAGGCATTTGTATCTGAGACAAGGAGGAGGGTAGTTAAGGTTTTAGAAGGGAAAATGGCATAAGAATTGTTTTGTGGAAGGTAATGCACATAGCTGAGGCCTGGAGTGAAGACAGTCTGGTAGTACAATGAACAGGTATTGAGTGTAAGAGGAAGAACACATTTTGAAATGGTCTGGGGAATGGGAACTAATAGATTCCATTTTGGACATGTTGAGTTTGAAATGGCTGTGGTTACAGGCATTGGTGTTCAGGATGTTGGACATCTGTATTGGACACAGTGGAATCACAGTGGAGTTAAATGTACGTGCATTTAACTTTAAGTGTTCTCTTTTTCATGAAGTTAAAAATACTAAAGAGGGCACTGTTTATTTCATAAACTATTATAAATTACACAGTACTAGGATTTTATACTTTTATGCTTTTATAGATGTATTTACTATTCGGGATTACATATACAAAACTGTATGATCTTTTTATGGACAACATGAAGAATTTTCACAGTTAATTTTGCTCATTTGCAATCTTTGCTTTATGAGCTTGCTTTAGACCTTGAAGACCAGCTAAAGAAGTGCCTCCATGTACACTGACCTGGACCTTGGACAAAGGGCTTGAGCTCGAGATAGAATTTGATATTAACATTGATTGAAGCCCTGAGAGTGAGAATCTCGTAATAAGATAAAGTTTCATATTCCCAGTAGATATATTTCTATATTCATAGTGAATATAGTTGTAGTTGACTTTATATGGTTTTCCCCTTCATATTTTTATGTTTCCATCTGATTTAGCTCCTTCCTTCATTTCTAAGCTTCTCAAAAGTCTTACTCCCTTTATGTTTATGATGGTGCTTGCTTCTTCTGTTCAGTGAATTGTTTGCAGTATCACTCTGTACCATTATTGATTTATCCTAAGCAAGTTACTGGAGTATTTAGTAAAAGTCATCTAATGGACTTAATTTAAGATACATTAAATTTGTTTTACAAAGATCTTTGAATCTGGTAACTTCTTTCTGCATCTGTGTACATGTTGAGAGAAAAGATGACAGGTTTCTTATATTGATCTGTTTGCTTTCTCTGACCTCTTGTATTTCTATAATTATTAAATGCATTGTTTCCTTTAATGTATTAAATATTTATAAATTCAGTATGTATTATAAGATATGTTGAATAAGGGTAGTATAGGGGCAAAATTACTCAAAATATGGATGTTAATGTGGGAACATAATTCCTAAATTGTTCATAATATAACTGTGTCATATGTACTTTGAAGAAAAGCTAAGCCATTTGGAAATAAAGTTGAAAAATAATTGAAGGATATTTCCATAAATTACTAATTCATGTCAGCCAAAAATTATTTTAACAATATTTAGTTAATGAGATCACAAGAGAATAGTAAAGCCTTAACTGAGACTACAGAACTGTGCTGTACAGTAACCACTACATGTGGTATAAAATTAATACATCACATGGATTTTTAAGTAAATAAAAGTGAATTTTAAAAATTTTATAAATAAAAATTAAATAAAATTTAAAACTTTATTAAACAAAACTAAATAAAATTAAAATCATACTGGCCTTGTTTCCATTAAGTAGCCAAATATTGGACAGTGGCAGATATAGAACAGGTACTTAGAGTTCTAGTATAGTACTAGTTAGAAGGCTATGAGTCAGTTTTTTTGTTTTGTTTTTATCTAAGTATTTTGAATGTATAAGGATTTTATTTGAGGAAGAAAAGAAATTCTTCGGAAAATTTAGTAGTATTCTCAGTTTTCTCTACTTTTATTCTACTCTTCTTCAATCACTTATATTAATTTATATTATTATACCAGGGATTTAATTAAGTAGTAGACAGTTCTGAGTACATTTTCCTTCATCTTGTTTCTTTCAGAAACAATTGAGCAAGCCCAGAATTCAAAGTTCGATAAATTTATAGTAAATCATTCATTGTATCGTTTACTTTTTAAAAATTAAATCTCTTTTTCTTTGACTATTAGGCAAAGTATAAAGAAGTAAAGGCAAGAAATGCACAGTTACTGAAAATGCTTCAGGAAGGTGAAAGTAAGTGATTTCTGTTTTTAGAATTAAAAGTTAATCTTAAAAATATTTGAAGACAACTTTTCAAGATACGTGATTTATGAAATCAGTAAAATAAAAAGGTTTCCCAAGTGATACAAACTGGATTGTTGCTGATAATTTTATTATTACAAGTCTCTCTTACAGCACCTTAGTATTATAGAAGTTTACAACTATTCAGTTAAGAAACTCTTGAAATTTCACTTCTTATGAATTATTGGACTGCATTTAGAGAGAAAACAAGAATAACATTTGTTTAAGCTTCTGCTTATTAATTATTAGAGAGAAAGCCTAGGTTTCCTTCTCCCCCCTCCCCCCACCCGAACTCTTCATACTTTTGCTGCCACTCTAAACTTCTGGTGCTGTGTCACCAGCAGGAAGCCAAGGAAATCAACACAAAACGATTAGAGATAATAAGATTAAAAAAGCTGATGTTATATGAAAACTCCCTAAGTCAGTTGCATTCCTGAATATGTGTACCTGGTAACAGTAACGTTGAACGCTCTATGAACATTTTTCATTCATAACAGAAAGGGAAGTGTGTATTAAATTGCAAAAGAAAATTATGAACCATAAAAGAGGCATAGAGAAAGACATGAATAAATGAGAAAATCTTCTGAATAGACAAAAGTAAGTGTAATAAACAATTTCCCTTGTTAACAAATGTTAAGAAATGCAAAATATAGCTCCTGTGAGTACTGTATAGCACCTAAGAAATTATGAAGCTTACCTTAAAAGGGTAAGTAAATAAAATAACAAAAATTGTTTCAAATATGAAGATACTGGGAGTGGAACTGTCCAGCCAAAATTTAAACTATTAAATAACAGTTGTCAAAATAATATGAGTGAAATAGTTATATAGTTATAACTGTAACTTAACTATTATACAGCTTAACTGTGATAACATAGAAGTTAAATAATAATGGAAAAAGGCATTATTTGAATAATTAGATATCAGTATGCTGAGATTAATTTAGATCTGTACATGTCACTGAGCTCCATGTGGATCATTTAATGAATAAAATTATGAAAAGAAAATGATTGCTTACAAGGTATAGTTTTAATTGGAGAAATTAAGGGTATCATTGTATACTGGATGTGTGATTTTTTAAGTATGTAAAAATAAAGTAATATTCCTTAAGGAAACATTTGTGAAAAGTGAAAAAGTTAACTGATAAAAGCTTACTCTCAAAAATAGATTAAAAATGGCTAGCAATAAATAACATTAGTGTCCATACGCCATACTATAAATAATCCAAGTAGAAGAATTTTATATAGGATCATTACATGAAAAGTACAGTATATTAGAGTGTACAAACTCTAGCATTTATAATATAAATGTAAATACAGTCAATCTGTTATAATGCAATACATGTTCCTATAAATCACTAACCTCTACAAAGTTAGACAATTAAATCACAAAGTTTATAGGGAAAATGGAGTTAGGCGCATACAACACTCAAAAATTTCGTCAGTGACACATTAAAAAAAGATGGGAGCCTAATAAAAACAGTAACAGTTTTATAGATGTTAAAATAGTTAAACACATAAATACTATAATAATAATGGCACTTTGAAGACAACGTAAAGTTTGCTGTAGAAGGAGGTTTCAGAGGGGTTGCAGCTTGTGTGTGTTACTGCTAAGTCAAGGAAGGATGGAAGGTTGGTGTGGTTCATGACACAATGAACTGAAATAGCCAGCAGATATCTGAGGTGTGTGCATGGGTGCAGGTTTCTGTGTTCACGAAATTGTGCTTAAGCAAGTACACAATTCATGTTGCGTTCAAGTTGTTCCCTGATGTATTAATCTCAAAACACAAAACAGCACTATAGGAAAACTGACTGTAATTGAAATATTACATAATTGTTAAAAATCAGTAGTTCTCAGCGAGTGGGTTTAATTCTGAGGATGCAAGAGTAGAAAGTAAAATTTGTAAAGGTTCCCAAGTTAATTCTTGAGAGACTGTGATTTGTTTCTTGACAGAGTCTCACCTTAGTTCATATCATATTAAACTATGAAAAGTAAGGGTGAATGATAGTGTTATGTTGGTAGAGCTGTGGTGATATCAGTACTCATATATTTGAACATTTCCTCCTATACTAATTTTATTAGTTTTATCTCTTCAGTCTTTGCTAGATTGTTTTCACAGTTGAGGATCTAATTTCTCATGCATTAGCTTTTACTATAGGTTAAGTAAATCAGCCATATGGAAATTTTTAAAGCTTAGGAAACATAGAAGCCAAAATACAGATCTCTTGCTTCCCCAAAGAGGGAAAAATCTCTACACAAATGAATAGTTCTAAGAGACCATAGATGTTATATGAATATGACCTACATTTGACAGTGCTTTAGTGATATGAAAAGTCAGATAAAAATAATTTTTGTGGGCCTTAGAGTATGTACACCTTGACAAAACAAAACAAAATAAAAACATTCTACATTGTTTTAAAAATCCTGCTTTAAGATTAATCAAGGTATTTAAAGCTTTTCCTCAACTCTATGTGCAATCTTTTGTTTTCTTGTGTCCTTGTCCTTTTTAGTATAGATGGAAAAATTTATCTTTCGTCATATCTGTGCAATTAATATTTTAACATTACAGAAAATGTAAAATTTCTAATAAAAACTGCTGTGGTGATAATAATGATCAGAATTTACCAGTGAAAATGAAGAGCTATATATAGGGTCAAGAAATAAATTCATTAAGTATGAGGACAGTTAATCTTTGCCTGACTGCACTGCTGTCTTGGTTCACCAGTAGTATTCTTAAAGGATCTATGTGACTGAAAAGACTATACTGCTGTTTTTCCTTTTTTGTCAGTGAAAGATAAAGCAGAAATTCTTCTGCAAGTTGATGAATCACAAAGTATCAAGAATGAGCTAACTGTACAGGTAAGGAAGACTATATATAGGACTGATTTTCTTAAGCTATTCTTTAGTCCTGAATTATGAAACTTGACTAAACAAAAACAGAGCCCATCAATACAGAAAAATTGTTTTAAACTATACTTCGTTATTATTACATAATAGCAAATGAATGAAGATTCTATTTACTGTGCTTAGAGTGGTATGTATGTCCTAAAGAATAGGGGACGATAAGGGTGTATGTTAGCTGATGTGGACTATGAACATGGAGATAGAATGGGCAGCTAGAACGTATCTTGCTCATGGACTTCTTCTCCCCTTCCATCCTTATTCTGTGGTCTTGTTTTAGAACAGCAAGCTTGTCCTACCTATCTTTAACATACAGCTGAGTAAAATGCCTGATTGAAATTGTGTGGGGGGAGGAATTCTCCTCTGATTCTTATTCATTTAGTAGGCAAAAATCATCATTGTGAGTAAGTGTTTAGAATTGAGAGCATTTACCAAAAAAGGTTTTTTTTAATTGAATATTTGGTTATAGGTGACTTCCCTTCATGCTGCATTAGAACAAGAAAGATCTAAAGTGAAAGTATTACAAGCAGAATTAGCCAAATATCAGGTATGCTTTTATAATTTTGAAAGTGGTTTTATCACAAATAAGACATTGGGAATAGACACATATTTATATATGTGAGAATAAATGTGCTATTTTATTCTTAGGCCAAAATTTTTCACCAAACATACGAATAATTTTGTTATTATGTGTCATATAGTTTACATTTTAGGAAATATTAAATTTATTCTAGATATTGGTATATACAGGAATTCAGAAAAGTAATTCGGAAAAATCCTTGGTACCACATAGATGACATGGCATATTTGCCAGTGAATCATAATGAGGGAAGATACATAATAATATTTACTCTATTATATAAAAAGTTTGATCATTTGATACAGTAATATCCCCTAGATATCTTCATTGTAAATATATCTTTTCCCTTTTGTAATTAATAAATAACATGTGAAGTTATATTTTGAGATTGTGTAAATATCCTATTCTTTTTACCTAATAATTTTAGCGTCCATTGATGATATTTGTATCAATTGTTATTTTGGTAGTTGCAAAATAGTGATTTTTCTAATTCTATCATTTCTTCTGCATTTACAAGCTGGCATTCAGTATTTTTTTCTGGATGAAGCAGTAAAAAAATATCAGGGCTGTGTTTCAGTATATGTATATGTGTGAATATACACACACACATATACTTGTATATACGTGTGTATGTTTGTCTATGTCATGATATAAAATGAGTTAATTAATGTGGGGTCATAGTCAGAAAGGTCTGAAAGCCACCACTGGTAGCATAGAGAGCATAAGATGTCCAGCTCTGACGTCTCATCAGTCCCAGGAAGGAAAAGACTTGGCCTGGGAGTCTTTGAAAAGATCCTTATTATTATTATTATTTTGAACTTGTTTAGAAGCAAGGTAAGAGTTTTAAGCTGTATAACATTGGTACTTATGTATGGTGGGTATCTACCTTATAGAAGTTTTTTTTGGTAAGTTTATTTTTATCTCCCTGCTATCAAGAAATAAATCTTGTTTTTAGTACATGTCATTATACATCTCAAGTTTTATAAAACCTCTTCATCCTTTTTTTCTGTGAATGAATCTTTGCAAAAGTTTTATTTGGTCAGGAGTGAATAACAGCATTCTTATACTTGGTTTTTTTTTAAAGAGGGTCGATATAGAAATGTTTTTGAACACCAAGAGGGAAGTTACAGGCAGAAAAAGAAAGAAACCAAGAGAAGCTACTAACATTATTAAGTGGGTCTGGGTTCTGTGTGCCCCTTAGATAACCACCAATCTAAGGAACACACTTCCACAGACAAGTAGTTCCCAAACGTGGCTGGTCATCAGAATCACTTGGGAACTTTTTGAATTGCAGATTGTTCAGCCCACTCCTAATAATTGTAAATAAATAGGTTTGGGACAAAGTCTAGACATTAGAATTTAAGAAGTATTACCACGTAGGTGATTCTAGTAATCAACTAAATTTGAGTATCATTGCTATAGTTTATAAAAATGGAGAAAAAAACTATAAAATTATTATAAATACATCCAATCATTATTTATGGTTAAAATGGAGGGTAGAATAGTTATGGATGGCTTAAATTTTCTTCTCTGTACCTTTGTGCTTTCTGTGTTTTTAAAGTGAGTATTTACTTTTTGAGTCAGAATGAGGCAGAAAATGTTATGTTAAAAGTAATTGATGAAAAATATTTTGTCTTTTAAGCTACTTTTTTCTTCCCTTGGCTCAAATACCATACATACAGTTTCATTTGGAGCAAATTAAATACAGATTTATATACACCATTGAGCAGTATGAAAAGTATAACCTACTCTTCAACCCACTAATGTACAAAATCAGATTTCTAATGCTGTCTAATATGAACAAAACTATACAGAACTTGAATTTAATTACCCCAAAGAGTAATGAACTGAATCACCAAATTTGCTGATCATATGGAACAAACTTTAATTTAGTATTGATCACAATTTTTATTTTTTTAAAATCTGGGACAGTGCAAATAACCTCTAAAAAATAGGACGCTGGTGGTCTTACTAAGTCCAGACTAATTTAAATAGATAGCTGTTTTCTACAGCTTACTTTAACCATTTGTAAAAATAACTATTTAAAAATAATTTAGTGGTATGCTCATTCAAATTTGCAACAAACTGAAAAAAAGCTGCTTCCTCTTCATATTAAACAATACCTTTGGTCTCATTTATTCTAAAAAGAAAATGCCCCCAAAATGTTATTTCCTTAATAATTTGCCCTATTTTTCTTTACAGGGTGGCAGAAAAGGGAAAAGAAACTCTGAATCCGACCAGTGTAGGTGATTCCATTAGCCTTTGAGGTCAACACAAAAATTAAAACTTTCAGGGTTTTGCAAAAATGTGTATATTTAATGCTGTACAATTGCTAAACTATGCAGTTTTTGTTGAAGAAACCTAAATGATTAGCTCACTAACAGTCTATAATTTTTGGCTTAAAGTGAAAAGAAGAGAAATAGAATTCCAGCAGAACTCAGTGATTATTATTACTATTCATACTTCTTATCACTTTAGTTTTTCATCAGTCAATAAAATTAATTTACTCTTCCATTAATATGTTTGACTTTTTAAATTTCAGAAACAATGTGAAAGTATTTTTGCATATAGCACAATTAATGGATTTAAGCTTAGTGAATATTTACTCAGCACTTTCTGCATGTGAAACCCTACAAACACAGAAGATATCCTCAGATTGCTTATGCTCAGGGGAAGTAGAAGGTGGGGCATAGGTAATGACAACAGCAAAAATAATTACTATACATATAAGAGTGTGATATCACATTGTTTGGAAATTGAAAAAACTTGCATGAGACAGTTTTCGTAAGGTGGATGCCTTTTTTGTAAATTTTTCGAGAGGCATTCCAGGCAGAATGAACAAAATCTAGGCTGAAGTATTTGTTTAAAGAACAGTCTGGTTAGAGGACAGAAATTAGACACACAGAATAGGAAGAGCAGTGATGTGAGGGAGGAATGAATGAGATATTTTTCACTGGTGTAATCAATTACTGGAATAGTCAGCATTTATGGGATTTTTTTTAGTGTAGTCAATGAAATACAAATATGATTCATTAAAATACAGAGGATTTTGTTTGTTTGTTTTATGACAAAGATAAAGGTCTTGCCCCCAAAACAAGCATTAACTGAAAGACTCCACTTCATGAGTCTTTAAGAAAAAATGTCAGCATTGCCTATATGTTTGGCTTCTTCCATGAAGTTACATGAACTTAGCAAAGAATTGTGACTTACACATAACACTTAGTTCTCTCTGGCACAGAGTAGATGTTAAAGAATTATTTGTTTAATTGATAAAGTGGTAAAGCCTCTTTAGGTAGTTTTTCCCTAATTTTACCTTTGATTAAGAATAGGTACCATCAAAACCTAATTATTTCATTCAATATATTTGGTAATGCATGATACCATATTTTTCAACCCAGTGATGAGCAAGATCAAATTTGTAATACTGTCTTATATGAACAAGCTAAATAGAACTTGAATAGTTTCAATTATAATTCAGTTATCCAAGCAGTTAATGAACTGAATTACCAACGCTCAGTATATTATCACTTATCTTTGATTATCTACCAGTACACTATCCATTTTGTACATTATCTAACATCTAGCACAGTGCTTGGTACATGGTAGACACTCAATAGATATGCCATTTTCTATTAGTGTGTATATTGGCTTAAAATCACCTGGGCACGTAGAAAACTTCATTGATTTTCCTCTTTTACATTGGGTATTCTCTGGAGTACTGCACTCATAACTTTGTTTCCCCCCTGAATTCTTTTCCCTTGATTGATGTAGCCACTACTGTGGATTAATCTGTCACTGCTAGACCATTCTCTCAGTTTCAACAGGGAAAGTTTTATTTAGTTAGAGATAGAAAAGACAATCTGGGGGGGAGGGCATAGCTCAGTGGTAGAGCACGTGCTTATCTTGCACGAGGTCCTGGGTCCAATCCTAGTACCTCCATTAAAACAAATAATTAAATAACCTAATTACTTCCCCCCTCAAAAAAAAATTAAAAAAAAAAGACAATCAGTGACCAGCTGGTGATTCTTCTGTTAGATTGATTTATCAGGCATTCCTTTTTAATAAATATCATTACTCAGATTCTTTTCTGAATGTTCAGTGAAATTATCAATAGCTTATTATGTGCTGGGCATTGTGCTAAGTTCTAGAGATGCAAATATGACCAAAATTGGAAGAAAACAGAAATGTAAAGAACTATTCATAAAATATTCCAATAAATAATAATATTGATATACTCAGATTGCTATTGGAGTACAGAAGAAAATGCATCTTACTATTTCAAAGAGGTAACTTAGACAATTTGTTTTAATTACTTCAAACTCCATTAGTAATATATTACTTAAAAAGTGATTATGGCAACATAGCAAGTTATTTAAATGGATCAAATATTTTAGACATCTTCTATGGGATTTTTGACATTTTCTGTGGTGTGTTAGTAAAGCTAGAGGAACCAGAGCTATGTTCAGGTCCTAGTTTTATTACCTTGGCTCAAAATAAATAATTAGTAAATGATTGAACAGCATGAAATTGGGTATCAAATGAGAATAGCTAGTGAAAATATTGGGTAGAAAGCTATGTAAGATGCCGTTTCTACTTTCAAATTATTTTCAGTCTAATATGAATAATAAAAGAGCACAGTACATAAATAACTGAAATTCAAGGCAGAATACAGTGGATTCCATAACAATTTTATGGAAGAGAGTATATTTGTTCAGGAAAGTCAAGTGTTACTTATTGAAAAAAGTAACATTTTAAATTGGTTCTTAAAGAATAGGCAGCTTTTCCACAAAGTTTTAAGGGGTGGAGGTTATTTAACAAAAAAGAAAAATAAAAAAAGAGGGAAGAAGGAAAAGCAGTGTGTTCAGGATACAGAAAGATAGCAAGGAGTGAAACTGAGTGCCTTCATTTTGCCTGGAGCGTAGGCAGTAATGAGGTAAACAGAAAGGTTGTTTGGGGATAGTTGTTCTTCATCTTAAGTTTCAGATTAAGTAGTCTATACATAATTTGGTAAGCATGGGAGAACCATTAAGAGTTTATGGACGAAGCGATGCAATCAAAGTTGTCCTTTAAGAAGACTGAAATGACAGTGATATAATAGGAAATTACAGAAGAATCAATTTGGAAATATCAAGGAAGCTTTTATAATAGTAGAAACAGGAGATAAAGAGGATCTGAACTAGGGAGGTAGCAGTGGGACTCAGAAAATGAAATAAAAAACATTCCCAGGGTGGAATCTAGCAAACGTGTACAAAAGAACAAGGACATCAGAGGTGAAAACAAGATCTCAAGCCTAAATGAGAGTGAGAATGAGAGGGCCACTAGTAGGGTGCACTGATGGAGGACTTAACGTCGGGGAAAGGGACAGAAATGACTTTTTAATAAAATTAATTATTTAAATTGAAGTACAGTCGGTTACAATGTGTCGATTTCTGGTGTACAGCAAATGTCCCAGTCATGCATATACATACGTACATTTGTTTTCATATTCTTTTGAAAAGACTTTTGACTTGTTAAATTGGATTTGCCTACAGAGCATCTGAAGGTAGAGAATCCAAGAAGTTGGAGATATAGATCTATTCCTTTGAGGAAAGACTGAAGTTAACAGATTTGGGATCCGTCTACAATAAAGTTGTATAAATAGTTGACAAACCCAAAGGAAAAGGTTTTTGAAGAGAAATATTGCTGAGTACAGACTTTGGGAATGGTAGGAAACAGAGCGGTGAGAAAGGTGGGAGGCATGGTTATGAGTATTGCAGAGCGGTCTTAGGTTATGAGCCTGAGGAAAGACTACTGGATTTAACAGCTAAAGGACATGTTAATCACCTTCAAAAATAGCTTTTGCAAGGGCACAGAGCAAGGCACTGAGGAGAAAGTTATACTCCTTAAGCTTTTGTTAGTTATAAGGGGCCCCCAAGGTGCCTTAAAGGGGCTACAGGGTTGAGTGAATTTGGTTTGTTTACATTCAGGACTGAGTAGACTTTTACTATGTTCATAAACAAAAAGGAGCCAATAAAGGTAAAAAAGAGATTGGGGCATGGGAGTGAGGGATTGAGTTCAGAGACCACCATTTAGATGTTTACTTGTCATTATGTAATTTGGTTTCCTTATCAACCTTTTCTGATGTGTAATTTAATTCTAAATTATGCTGTTCTTTGTTAATGGAATTATCACCCTTTCCATATAATAATTTAAGAATATTAATGATTTTAAAAAGGAATATAAAATGATTTCACGATCAGACATTAGTAAACTTCCATGAAGGAACAAGTCCTGAAGCAACAGACAAGATGGTAAGTGAATAACAGGTCCTCCAAAGACTGTAAATCATTGAGGGATGGTCCTGGGGTAAATGTTTTATTTAATTTAAAATATTATTCTCTTGAAGTTAACATCCACTGCTAGTGTGGTTGTTATGAAGTGGATACCCACATGTGCTATTAGCAGTCTTATACTTTGGTTTCTGCATTTTGGAAAAGCACTATGGTAATATGTTTCTGGAGCCAAAACCAAAAAATGTTTTTACCCACTAATTCCCAATATTGGCTAATTTATCCTAAGAAAACAGTTTGAGAGAAGAATAAACATTAAGAGATCTATACAGGTATAACAGTAGGTATAAAAAGGAACCGTGGGATAACCCAGATGTTCAGCTTCAGTGTCTAACCCAAATACCCAACTTGAATGACTAATTAATGTAATGCATCAGGGGGAGTTTTTATTATGCAGCCTTTAAAAAGGTATAATTAGGGCAACTATGTAAAAACATGGAATATATTGGACATAGTTTAAATATAAAAACAAAATACAAACTTGTAAATTCATTATAGCTAATGTGAAAATACATATGCATATGGACAAACTAGAAAACAGAAATTACAAAATAAAACTGCTTGTGTTGGGATGAGGGATTATGGAGAATTACAGGTTAATTATTTTTCCCCCAAATTTTATCTAATGTACCGCTATTTGTAATTGAAAAAAATTGGAAAAATACTTTTGCTTGAATTTGTGTTAAGTGATTTGCTGATACAGAAGTAGGTTGTATAAACTTATTTTATTGACATGCTCAACTAAATTGTGTTAATTAATACAGAATATCTCCTAGACATGGAAGTTTTGCTTTTTAATCCAGAACCCTTCACTATAATCGAACTAAACCAGGGAAGGTAGCTTTGTGAATCAAAATGACTGTGTTGTTGCAAGAAAACTTGTAAAATTTTAATCAACCAGCTTGACATTTCCTTTGTTTTACTTCCCATTCGAAAAATTTTAGAACATTAGTTTTATTGTCATTAACCATGTCATACTGTTCTGGTGACATCTCTTCAAAATTAGTTTTTTGTAATCATATTACAAACTAAGATGTGAGTTATTTTATTGTATAAATTATTTTATACACTATGCTCCCCATTATGTATTTGTTAAGGAAGAGATAGTTTTCTTCTAAATACCTCAATATACATAATGGGTACTGACTGTAATGTTTTATATAAAATTAGTTTTTTATAACACAACTTTATTACAATATAAATGACATATAACTGCACATGAAATGTGGGATAAGTAAACATTTTATGATTTCAATACTTTGAAATTTGTTAAGATTTGCTTCATGCAACAATATGTGATCTAACTGTATGTTTTGTGTGGGCTTAAAAAGAATATGTGTTCTGCAGTTGTTGGGTGCAGTAGTCTATGTCCAATTAGATCACGTTTCTTCAAATCTTATATATCTTTAATCTCTATCCTCTGTTCTGTCAGTTACTGAGAGGATATGTTAAAATCTGACAGTGATTGTGAATTTGTCTACTTTTTAAAAGTGTGTGTCAGTTCTGCTTTTGAAGTACTAACAATTTAAAAACTGTTCTATCTTCCTGATGATTTAATTTTTACAGTGACAATCACTAGTATGTTATTTTGCTTTAAAAGTCTATTTCATCCAATATTACAGCCACATTAGTTTTTCAGTAGATATCCTCTAAATAGCTTAGTACTAGCACAGCATTTTTTTTTCAATTCCAGGCTGACAGACTTTCTGTATTTCTGCTTATTTCCTTTTCTCATTTTCTTTGAGTAACTGACTTGCTGACCTCCTCCTTTGTCAGGCCTTCAGTGTTTTAAGAAGTCCTTCAACATTTTAGCATTTTCAAACAGAAAAGTTTGAATAAGCTGTTCTGTCATATCCCTGGAAAAGAAGGAACTAAAAATTCTATCAGTTCTATTTTGCTATTTCCCTTAATGGAGCTATACCCACCAGTTTATAGTGCAAACATTTGAGTTCAGAGGCCGAGTTGATGTTTTAACATAACTGATTTAAAGGCCTATAATTAAACCAGCTATTGTTGGAGGAAGATGGTCAACAATTAGAGTTTAGATTACTCTACTTTAACACTGTAGCTCATTTTGAGCCAATGATTTTAATCACACCAAGCATAATCTTTATGTTGTTACCTGAGCAGCAGTACTATACTAAGAAATAGTATATAAATAATATATAAAGGCATCTCTTTTGGTTTCAGTAAAGGACAGTGCTACTCATACTAGATAACGTTTAGACTTATGTAATAGCAAAATATTTTTGCTAATTTTTTGTCACAGTAACCAGCTTTTTTTCTGCTTATTTCTAAATGTTATAATATCAGCTAATCATGGAATATTACAGTGAATCAGTTCTCTAGATGATTTAAAAACTGTAGCTGGCCAGGTTCACCATTAGGCTAAACGGCAAAACAAAAACAAATTCAGGGAAAATGTGTGAGTGTGTATGTGTGTGTGTGTGTGTGTGAAATCCATCACACACAAACATTATTAACTGCCCCTTCCTCTAACGTGTCCATGAATTATTTATCTTCTATCAAGAAGTGGCATCTATGATTTCTCTTGAATCTTGGTGGGCTCTGTGACTGTTCTGGCCAATAGATGACGGTAAAATGACACTACCTGTTTTTAAGCGTGGGCCTTAAGAGACTGGCAACTTCCACTTCTGCCTTCTTGCAGTACTCCCTCTGGGGAAAGCCAGCTACCATGTGGAATCACTTTGGGACTCCATGCTGTAAGAAACTCAAGTCACATGGAAAGCCACCTATAGGTACTCTGGTTGATGACCTCAGCCTCACCAACAACCAGCAGCAACTATAGGCCATGTAAGTGAAGCACTTTGGACATCTATCCCAGGCAAGGCTTCATATGACCCTAACCTGAGCAGCATTCTGACCAGCTGCATGAGAGATCACGAGTGGTAACTGCCCAGACAACCCGCAGCACAGTGAGAGAGAACAAATTGTTGTGGTAGGCTGTTAAGTTTGAGAGTAGTCATTACACAGCAATGAAAAAGCAAAGCAAAATTTGTTACTTGGAAGAAAGGTAATGCTATAATAAAACCCTCAGAGCACGTGATACTGGTTTTGGCACCAGGTAGCAGGCCGAAGGTGGAAAGACCCCAAGGGGGCTTTTTAATGAATATAGAAGGGACTTGAGACTTTTGGTGAGAACTTGAAAGACAAGAAGGAAAATGTAATTGGAAGCTGGAGAAAAGGGGCTTCTTGTTTTGAAATGACCAAGTTTGGCAACACTGTTGCCTATAGCAGCATGGAAAATAGAAACTATAATGAAGGAAAATCTAACTGGGTAGGTTTTTCAGACAATATAGAAAGTTATATTTTTTTTAGTAACTGCTTAAGCTAAAATACATAGAGGTGAACTAATGAAACTCTTCAGTTCTTCAGCAGAATTTAAAGAAAATGAAAATGAGCCAGGAATTGCTGTGTTCAAGAATAAAACCTCAAAACACAGGCTTTCCTTGCCAAAGGTTCTGAAAATAATAAAGGACAAAGATTGAAACCAGGGAGCTAACAGTAAAGTAAGATAAAGGGCTCAAGGATTTATTCTATAAGACCCTTTTGTTAAGACCTCAGAGACTCAGGGGGAGTAGCCAAGATGGCGGAGTGGGAAAACCCTAAGCTCATTTCCTCCCACAGTCACACGAAAACTACAACTATTTGCAGAGCAAATATTGATGAGAAGACCTGAAGACTAGCAGAAAATACCTTCTACAACTAAAGATACAAAGAAGGAACCACAGCAACACGTGTAGGAAGAGCAGAGAAGTGGTACTGTCACAACCCACCTCCTCAGGTGCGTAACTCACAAACAGGAGGACAGTTACAATTGCAGGGACTCTCCCCATGGAATGAGGGGTCCCAGCCCCACATCGGGCTTCCCAGCCCAGGACTCCTTCACGGGGAAGATAAGCCCCCAGAATGTCTGGCTTTAAAACCAGCGGGGATTACTTTCAGGAGGGCCAGAGGGCCGTAGGAAATAAACTCCTCTGAAGGGCTCACACAAAATCTCACCTGCTCTGAGACCCAGGGCAGGGGCAGTAATTAGGAGCCTGGGTCAGACCCACTTGCTGATCTTGGAGAGCTTCCCAGAGAGGCAGGCGGCAACTGGGACTCACCCCGGGGCATAAACTGGAGGCAGCCATTTGGGGAGCTTGTTCTACCACAGGGACAGTGGTGCTGGCAAGCGCTATTTTGGAATCCTCTCTCTAATCCACACAGCAGGGCCTGGCAACCTGCTGGACCAGGGGCCAGGCATTCCTACCAGACCGCCTGCAGTAGGCAGCCTGCCACAGGAGGAGGGCCCACACAGCCCACACACGGGGCCTGAAGAGATCAGCAACTTAAAATAGTCCTATGTAAATACCTAACCATATCAGTAATCATATTACATGCAAGCAGATCTAAATACTGCAGTGAAAAGACAGAAATGGTCATACTTATTTCAAAAGGCAAGATCCAACTATATGCTTCCTACAAGAAATATACTTTGTATGTCGATATACAGAAAGCAGTATTTTTAATAAACTAGCAATGAGCAGTTGGAAATTGAAATTAAATTATACAAACTCCACAGACATTTTTAACTCCACCTTTTATTACCTGCTTGGCATACTGATACCAAATGATTCGAAATTACCATTGTCAAGCGATGGAAAAGCACTTCAAAGTTTAAAGA